TCATTCCATATGCGTACCACCCTCTGTGTAAAAAGTTGCCTGTCAGGTTGCCATGTATTGTTTCCTCTCTTACCGTAAACTGATGCCCTCTAGTCCTCAATTCCCTAACCTTGGGAAAAAGACTGAGTGCATTCACCCTATCCATGCCTTTCGTGATCTTATACACTTCTATAAGATCCCCACTCAGTCTCCTACACTCTAAAGAAAATAGTCCTAGCTTGTCCAACCTCTCCCGATAACTCAGCTCCTTAAGTCCTGGCAATATCCTTGTAAATTTCTTCTGCACTTCTTCCAGTTTAATAACATCCTTCCTATAGCAAGGTGACCAAAACCGAACACAATACTCCAAGTGCGGCCTCACCAACGTCATGTACAACTGCATCATAACTTCCCAACTTCTATACTCAACACCCGGACTGATCAAGGCCACTATGCCAAAAGCCTTCTTCACTGCCCTGTCTACCCGTGACACTACTCTCAGAGAATCGTGCACCTGAACTCCAAGGTCCCTCTCTTTCACCACACTCAAGGCCCTACTATTCACCATGAAACTCCTACCTGGATTTGACTTTCCAAAATGCAACACCTCAGACTTATCTATATTAAGCTCCATGTGCTATTTCTCGGCCCACTTCCCCTATTGATCAAGATCCTGCTGCAATTTCTGATAGCCTTCCTCACCGTCCAGGATACTGCCTATTTTAGTGTCATCTGCAAGCCTACTAATCATGCCTTGTACATTCTCATCCAAATCATCAATATAGATAACAAACAGCAACGGGCCCAGCAACGGGCCCAGCACCGAACCCTGAGACACACCACTAGCCACAGGCCCCCAGTCAGACAAAGTACCCTTCCAGTATTACCCTCTCCTTCCTACCATCAAGCCAATTGTGTATCCAAATCACCAGCTCTCCCTGGATTCCATGTGATCTAACCTTCCAGGGCAGCCTACCATGTGGAACCTTATCAAAGGCCTTACTGAAATCCATATAGACTACATCTACTGCCCTGCCCTCATCAACCTTCCTGGTCACTTCATCAAAGAACCCTAACAAATTTGAGAGACATGATCACCCACGTTCAAAGCCATGCTGACTACTCCTAATCAAACCCTGTCTTTCCAAATGCATGTATATCGTATCCCTCAGAATCTTCCCAAGTAACGTACCTACCAGAGATGTTAGGTTTACTGGTCTATAATTCCCAGGTTTTTCTTTGCAGGCATTCATGAATAAGGGCACAACATTCACTACTCTCCAGTCTTCCGGGACTTCACCCATGGCTAACGATGATGCAAATAGGTCAGCCAGGGCCCCTTCCTTAGCCTCTGGCAGGGTTCTTGGATATAGCTGGTCAGGACCAGGAGATTTATCCACCTTCGCACTTCCTAACACTTCCAACACCTCCTGTACTGTGATATGGACTGTCCCCAAGATATCGCCAATAACTTCCCCAAGTTCCCAAGTCTTCATGTCTTTCTCCACGGTAAACACAGAGAAGTATTCATTGAGGACCTCGCCGATCTCTTGCGGTTCCACATAAACATGTCCACTTTGATCCTTGAAGAATCCTATTCTCTCTCTAATTATTCTTTTTCCTTTAACATACATCAAGAAGCTCTTTGGATTCACTCTTATCTTCTCAGCCAAAGCTATCTCATGACCCCATTTCGCCCTCCTGATTTCCTTCTTCAGTAAACTCCTGCATGCCCCATATAACTCCAGGGATTCCCTTGACCCCAGCTGCTGCTTCTGAGCCATGCCTCCTCCTTTTTTCTGGTCAATACAGTTTACTACACCTAGTTCTTTTTCTATTCATTTGTGGGATGTGGGCGTCGCTGGCTGGCCAGCATTTCTTCCCCATCCCTAGATGCCCTTGAGATGGTGGTGGTGAGCTGCCTTCTTGAACCGCTGCAGTCCTCCTTTTGTGGGTTGACCCACAATACTATTAGGGAGAGAATTCCAGGATTTTGACACAGTGACAGTGAAGGAACGGCAATATATTTCCAAGTCAGGATGGGGAGTGACTTGGAGGGAAACTTGGAGGTGGTGGTGGTGTTCCTATATATCTGATGCCCTTGTCCTTCTAGATGAAAGTGGTTATGGGTTTGGAAGGTGCTGTCTGAGGACCTTTGGTGAATTTCTGCAGTGCATCTTGTAGATAACACACACTGCTGCTACTGAGAACAATAATATAATCTACAATATGTGAAGACAACTTCTGTTCTAACATTCAATTAGAATTAACTAGAGTTAAATATGGGTAATGCATACATTTTGGTCGAACATTTCACCAAGTACATCAAATAGCAAATGCATTCAAGAGGGATCCCATGGATTTCTCTCAGTAACCCCTCAGATATTAGTAACATAGTTGTTGACAGCAATGTGATTGAGGTGCTATACATAGGCTTGCAAAACACATTTTATAACAGGCCACATAACAAGTTTTCAGCAAATTTAAAGTTATGGAATAAAAGCAAATGTGGAACCGTGAATATGAAGATGGCTACACGACATGAAATGCAGAGTAATGATGGACTATTGCTTTTTGGACTGAAGGAGTTATATGATGAGGTTCCCCCTAGATTGGTATAAGGTCCACTGCTTTATTTGATCAAATAATAAAATGAACTTTGATGTGTTGGGCACAATTTCAAAATTTAAGATGGCAATAACTTGAAATTATTGTGATAGAATATTGTGACAGTGATAGCATTCAAGAAGACATGGACAGGCTGGTGGTAAAGGTGACAGGTTAAATTTAATGCAAAAAATATAGTAATTTATTTTGGTCAGAGGTAACAAGACAGGCAATACAAAACAAAGGAAAGAATTTTGAAGAAGATACAGTAGCAATTTGTTGAAGACGGTCATACAGATTGAAAAAGTGACAAATAAAGCATATGGGTTTCTTGGCTTTATAAACAGAAGGATTGGAGTACAAAAACAAAGCACCTATCCAGAACGTTTAACACTAGTTCAGTCTCAACTCATCATGTCCAAACTGGGTGCAACATTTTAGGAAGGATGGGAAGGCATTAAGGGAAAGCACAGGAAAAAATTCAGAGAATGGACTTGAGTTATGTAGATTGATTGGAGAATCTGGGATTGCTCCCTTTAGAGAAAATGGATGGGAGGTTTGTTTGGGGTGTTTAAAATTATGACGGTCCTGGACTAAATAAATTGGGAGAACCGTAGGGTAACAATTCAGTTGCGGTTTACAAAATGAAATTGGATAATTCTTTGAATAGAAAATATCTGCAGGACTTCAGGCTAAAGCAGGCAAATTTGAATAGCCAAACTGCACTTGCAAGGAGCTGGCAGACATGATAGGTCAAATGGCCTCCCTCTGTGCTTTAACAGTTCTACAGTTCCATGTTTCTGGACAAAGAATGGATTGAGGGTCATAGTGGAACATTAGTGAAATCAACTGAAAGGACTGATCTTGTTGGGTCAAATTGTCCTTTCCTGTTCTTAGAACACTTCTACTCCTATCAAAATTAAGAATGCAATTAAGACAATAAACTAAGCCATGATGGAAGATATTTTTCTCTGTTGGTTCTCTTGGGTTTTCCCAATTTACTCTGTTCAGGGACCCTCATGATTTTAAACACCCCTAGCAAACCTCCTGTCAGTGTTCTCTAAAGAGAGCAATTCCAGATTCTCCAATCTATTTACATAACTAAAGGAAACCAAGTCCATCCTCATAATTTATTTTTTAACTGTGCCTTCTCTTAGTGTCTTCTCCATCCTAAAATGTCTTACCCAGACTAATCATGATGAGTTGAGGCTGAACTAGTGTTTTATAAACACTCATGATAGCTGACTTGTTTTTGTACTCTATCCTCCTATTCATAAAGCCAAAAAACCCATATGCTTTATTTATCACATTCGCAATGTGTCCTTACAGCTTCAAATTGCTACTGTATCTTCTTCAAAATTCTTTCATTTTGTATTGTCTTTCTGCTTACCTCTGACCAAAATAATCCACTATAACCTGTCACCTTTTCCACCAGCCTGTCCACATCTTCTTGAATTCTATCACTGTCCTCATTGTTCACAATAATTTCAAGTTATGTGTCATCTGTAAATTTTGAAACTGTGCTTAACACATCAAGCTTACAACAAAGACGACATAAAAATTTGTCCTGTAACATGTATAGTAAACTTTATAAAATCATCTAAATGAAGAGTAACATGTAAACCAATTGGCAAATACGTTCAATGATCTATTTGACTGAACAATTTGCTATAAACAAACAGAACACCACTTACCAAAAACCTCTGAAATATTTGTTATATTATTTTACTTCACTGACAAACCTTTTACCACATCCAAATGAAGCTTCACTATGATGTTTTGTGAAAAGAATGCATTTGATTGTTTGCAACATAATGTACCACAATCTGGAATAGAATTCAAATTTAAGATGCAGATTTCTCAGAGGATGCATTTACAATTTTATGTCAAATTTTCAGCAATAAAACACACAGTTAATGCAGCTTAATGACCATTTGTGACTACTTTCAGCGATCTTACTTCATTATAATGGACTTATGCAATTTCTTTGGATTCTAGGGCATTACAACTCAACCTTACAAACAGCTGCAGCATCAACGTGGAACATCGGCAACTTCTGTGCTGCAGGATCGTATTCCCTCAATTGAGCACTAATTTGGGTAAGATCCTGCGTAGCATATTCAATGCATAGTAAGTAATCTGCATCCTTCACTCAGTGTGAAGACATTATTCTGAGCAAGTTCATTAACCTAGCTGGATTGGAAGGTTAACTAGCTAACTGAGAGAAAAGGCTTGAAACTGGATAAAGGAACAGCTTTGATACAAAAAATTTAAATGAGCACCTTTATTCCTTTTGATATTCATTAGTTTATTATAAGGAAGAAAGATGGTCTTGAATTTGTAAGCATTTATCTGCAGAAAATGGGTGTACATCTGTCGCTGAAGTGCTCCATAAAAGAATAATATCGACTTACCCATGTTACTAAGCGAGTAGCTTGGGGATGGAGAGAAGACTTGAGCTGCAAAATCTTCAAATGTCATGATCTCTTTGTGTTGCTGAACTATTGCTTCAACATACTGAGCTCTTTCTTCATAACTGTATGACTGGTTAAAGAAATTGCCACAGACATAGGTTGGTAAACATACTAAAGGTCCTGTGCAATACTTGAAAAGGCCTAATCACCACCTGTTTTCTAACTGTCAAAGTGGCTTATGTTTATTACACAAAATTTGATAGTTTTAAAATTTCCTTGAATTCCAGATGCCCTATGAAATCAAGAATCCTAAACTTGCATTTAAAAGAAAATTGTTGGTGAACTCTATGCACATAATATATACAGTCATTAGCAGTTATAGTTATTGGCAGTTTCTCTGTGAGAATGTGTTCTCATATATTTAAATGGAAATAAATAATTCAATCCTGTTGAAGGAACAGATTCCAGAATACTATGACAGATGGCTCCAATAACATTTAAAATTTTTAAGATTGCAATCTACTTGCCATTGCATACTTCAACAGAATTTAACATTTAAAAAAAACCCAGGGAAATAGAACACCCTAGTCAAAACTTCTTTATTATTTTTCTTCTTTTAAATGTGGTCATTGTGCAATCAGAGCAGTCCCAGGTGTAGAAACCTTCTGAATGGACCAGCCATTAGATTTTGAACATAGCTCTCCCTGCAACGTGTTGTAAAACTTTGGATCAATCAAAACCATTTAAGAATACTTCAACATAAACACTTTGGAAGACGTCACTGTACTGCTGCACAGTATTCAATTTCATCTGTGTCACAGTTAATAATCAGCACATGCCAGACCTGCCACAAAATATTATTTAAGAGCAGGAGCTACAGCAGCAAAATAAAACACCATACAAGAAATACACTCTGTCAAAAATCTGATTACATTATCTGCAATAAAACACCATTAAATTGCTTTCCTATGACTAGAATAAAACATCGAATTGGCACAGTAATCAAAAAACAGTCACCAATAACTTAAAAGTGTGACAGGGTTCAACAACCTGCCAGCTGCCCTAATAGGGCCCCTGCTTGTAGCTGCTTTTCATGAAACATTGTGGAGAGCTTTTATTTTCTTCTTTGTGTAAAGTTTCCACCTCTACAGAGGCAGTAGAAATTACAGTTATAAATCAAATACTGAATCCAGGTCCCTTGTAAAGCTGGATGTTGTCTTTAATTCACCCTCAGAAAGTCAAACTGATGTAGCAATTTGGAAGCACTCAAGCCAAGATGGAAACACATAAAAGAACAGTGTTTAAAAAATGCCTAAAAATGGAGGAATTGGATTAACTGATATTTTAAAACTATTTACTGCAGCTTTTGTGTGAAATAACATTCCAAAACAATTTCTGTGGTTTGGCTGGGAGGCAGGGAGGAGGTTGGGTTAGTGGTGAGTGAGGAGGGTACTTATAAAATTTAGGATTTGTGCTTTTCAGAATATTAGGGACATACAATGGAAGGTTATGAAAAATATTTAAATATGAACAAACAAAAAAAAGAAATTATCTCTCCAAATGATTTAAACTGTCGTCCAAGGTTGATCAGCATATAGTGCAATTTATATCATTTTAAATTTAAATTCTTTTGTGTGCCCACTATTTAATGCGAGAATTGAAATATGAACCAGAGTTTATTTATTGCTGGCCTTTCTTTATGCTGACTTAAATTCTGATGACCCTAGGTAATGAATAGCCCGCTTAATTTGCTAAGAGCAGAGGCACATTTTCTCTGTCAATCCTTCAGGGACCAACTGATGCCATTCACAAGTCATTATAAGTCGTCTTTTCCTGAAATACATACAGGCTGTTGCTAGGCCTCCCTATTCCATATTGCCACAGCAAGCCACTGGCCTCGTCAACAGCAGGCTGTTGGGCTGGTGTGTCCGTCTGGCGAACAGGCGCTTTGACACTAAGCTGGCACGTGCTGGCGCAGCAGGAGCAGGCTTGGGCGTGACAAATTGTTGAAAGAGCTGAGCTGAAGTTGAGGCCGGGAGCCACCTGAGCCTCAGGCCCTCTATGGGCCTGTCATCAGTCGCCAATTCATTGCTTGGCCAATAGTCTGTAGTCAGCTTCTGGGCTCAGTTTAAACAAGGCAAAAACAATATAAAGCCCTTTCAGGCGATGGCTAATAACACCCTGCTGTTTAATGAAAGGTCCTGCATAACTAACACGTAAGCATACAACGCAGCACACAACTGCTAACAAAACAGAGACATTCACTAAATAATGTATGCAAAGACAGTAAGACTAGGGCCTCCAAATTAACGTAGACCCAAATGATCCAGTACAATAGCCAGTACACTTATGAAGGCAAGCAGGCAGCCAGTAATACAGACCGTGACAACATGCATCAAGTTTGGAAGGAGGCAGCAGGAATAATGATAGCTCATTGCATGTATTAGGATTTTACTGACTGTATGCTTTAACCCTAAGTGGCCACTACAATATTTTTCTGTATAAAGTTCCTGCTTATTCACTTCGTTAACACTTCAATTCAAAATAATGGCAAATTACTAGCTAAGTTGAGCATTTTGATTTGTAACAAACATTATGTTTATCAGTGGAAGTTGACAGAATAGGTTCAAATCATTTGAAATTAATGTTCTGCACTGAGATCGTGCTAAATATTATTAAATAGTGATATCTTTGAATTTTATATAAAACCATAAAAAAAACTAGATATTTTTCATGTCCTGCAGGTACATGGTTCAATTTACTAGTCCTCCAGTATTGGTCATCAGCATTAAAGATAATTATCTTTTCAAAAAGAGATGGATAGATTACTACAACCATAAAAAGGAATAACCAACCAGTTAATCTCCACACTTATATAGGATGACCTAGATTCAAGATGCGCTAGAAATATAAATTCCACATGTGAAGAATGTTAAAGATTTGATATGAATTAACTATCTCTTTAAGATATCCAAGTGAATTATACAAAAATAATGTTAAAATATCAGATGGAACATTCCTTTACAATTCAATTAATTCCTTACGTTGCAGTTCACAGGCTAACACAAAGAAAAAGACACATCATATCCTCATTGCCACAGCAACTGATGTCACTAACATACAACCTTGCAAAAAAAGGCTACTTAATGAGAAATGCATCATAAACATTACCTCAGCAAAGAGGAAAAAAAACAGTAAAATTAAGGAAGGCACTTGGAACAGTTTTTCTCCAGTCTCATTAAAAATTGAGCTCTCTCAAAATTGGTGCAACACAATAAAACAAATCAGGAAAGCACAAAAAGTAAATAAAGCCATATGGTCCTCCATTATCATAAATTCTACATGACTGCGATTGAGATTACTTGACTAAATATTGACTGAAGCTAAAACAGACACGATTTCCGTAGATAGGATACAACTACGTAGCAAAATTGTCTGCAACGTAAGTAACTAGATAAAACAGTGCAATACATTTATCTGAAACAATGTTTCCTGAAATGGAGTCTTCTATTAAAGATGGATTAGCTTAGTCATGTGTTAAATGAGAGCTAAACCTTTGTAATGTTGGAAATTATTGATGTTTGCCTCTCCAAAAGAAATTATCCTGCAAAGTAAATAAATTAAATCCAGTAACATTATTTATTCTATTTCAGATAATTCTGAATTATTCATATCATATGACGAATAAATTATTATTTTTCATATAGACCAGAAGGACCAAGGTTCAGTCCCTGGTTTGTACTAAATTGTCACAGTTGAGGTAACAGTGGGCTTGCTATAATTGGGCTAGAAGGAGAAAAGAATTATTCAGGACTTAAGGCTGCTACAACCCAACAAAGGATTCCTGCATTTAGCTCTGCTCAAGGTGCTATGTTGCAATGCATTAGCATACAGTGACACTGAAAATGATTAAAGGTAGAAAATATCAAGCTTTTCTGATCAAAGACCAATTCTTCCTTTAATGAATAAATAGAAACAATCCTATTTTTAAAGAGCTCATATGAAAAAAAACCTATGGTGGACATTTTCATTTTTGAATGCCCAGATGAATTTTAGATGACTACAAGTAAACAGTAGTTTCTTTACAACTCTGGTCTGTGTTTAATATGTGTCATTGCAAAGAATGTTTGGCAACATAGTGCAAGGATTCATTCAATTTGGCAATCAATTACTGCAAATAAGTTAATCCTTGGGGACTACACTTTTGCTTTGGTAAAATATAAATTCTGGATTGTAGGGGGGCAAAGTCTATTTGTGAGGCCCACTGTTAAATCACCAGAAAAGAGAACAGCTCAACAAAAGTAATCTAAAACTCTTTCAGGATGAGGTTAGCTAGCACCTGCGAACCTGCTTAATAGAAACTGAAGCTTTCAGCAAAGAATTGGAATGAGCGAGGGAAAGCAACAGTTTAAAAACAAAAATCGAGAAATGCCCAACTAGCAGGAAGACACCATATTTCTGAAAGTGTAAAATAACTGTAGCATTCAAGAGTAGAGTACTCTGAATTTAAATTCACCAAACGAATTTAACCTACAATCAAACATCAGAAATACTCAGATAACAGCAATGAAGAAACCCTGTTGCAATATATGACTGATTGGCACACTTTTTTCAATTATGCTGTTAAGTAACTGAGTTGCAGACTGTAATTCAAACAAATTTGGTGTGACTAGAAACATCCATATGTATTTTATATTCACAGGAGTTAATTGGGAAGAACCAGAGTTTATGCATCTGATTAATTACAAGCTCCAAAGAAATCCTGTGTGACCTGTTAAGCCCTGGGTTCCAATTAATGAACAGCATATTTTAGAGATGTCCTTCCATTGGGAATAAATTAACCTGTGTTGCCAGCGTGTATATTTGAATAGGTGGTCACAGTGTGACAAGATAAATGTCTGTTTCCTAAATCAAAGAATTCCAAATACAGAACAAAAAGGTGGAACAGAATCTCTGAACATAGAACTCTCATGTTGTGCGTTAGCTACTTTTACTAGGCTTGGACATATGAATCAACTTGCAGGTCAACTTAAGTTTTGAATGCTGATTTGCTCATCTAATACAGCATGCACCAATGCCACATTTATTCTGAACAGACTCTTTCAATGTACTTCAAGCACAG